AGCTGGGCCAAGCAGCGATGGAAATGTCATTGTCGCAGAGCGAGGGTCCAGCGAAGTAACCGCCGCGCCCAAGGGAGGGAGCGGGACGTCGCTGCACCCAGCTCCGCTCCTCAGCGAGAGGGACGGCCTGAAAAACTCTCGGTGGAGAGGGCAACAAGAGAACCGTGAGGTTCTCCCACGGACTGCAAGGGTCACGGGACGTTACCTGGGGGTCAGGAGCTGTCCCACCACCTGCTCAGGGTTTGGGACATCAGCCTTTCGACTGGACTCCAGCACCCGTGCAAGCCCAATGATAAGTGCCGCACATGAACCTATGCAGACCAGGAAGAAATACATTTTCCTGACTTTCCTTGTCACTTGGCTCCTGCTTTTCTTCTTTGGAGGAGACCAGCTGCGCCGTTTCGCTTTATTTTCTGGGAGGAAAGCTGAAGCCCAGAGGAACTGGCCCCACTGGACGGATCGGTCCCTCCTCAAAAGCTTTGCGGACCCCAAGGAGCTGCAGAGCGATGGGGACCCCTCGTTGCCGTCGCCCCGGGAGCGGCGAGCGGCGCACCTGAACATCTACAAGAACAGCAGATGCCGGATGGAAACCTGCTTTGACTTCTCCAGGTGTGAGAAGCACGGCTTCAAAGTCTTCACCTACCCCCGGGAGAGTGACCAGCCCCTCTCAGAGAGTTACAGCAAAATCCTCACCTCCATCGAGCGCTCTCGCTACTACACCCCGAACCCCGAGGAAGCTTGCCTCTTCATCCTCAGCATCGACACGTTGGACCGCGACCATCTCTCAAGTCAATACGTCCGTAACGTCGATGAGAAAATCCGCGGCTTCCCTCTCTGGAACGGTGGCCGTAACCACCTCATCTTCAACCTCTACTCGGGCACTTGGCCCAATTACACCGAGGACCTGGGCTTTGACATCGGCCAGGCCATCCTGGCCAAAGCCAGCTTCTACACCGAGACCTTCCGGCCCGGCTTTGACATCTCCATCCCTCTTTTCTCCAAGGACCACCCACAGCGCGGTGGAGAGAAGGGGTGGTTGTATCAGGACTCGATCCCCCCGAAAAAGAAATATTTGTTGGTGTTCAAGGGGAAGCGGTACCTGACCGGCATCGGCTCCGGCACCCGGAACGCGCTGCACCACATCCACAACGGGAAGGACATCATCTCGCTCACCACCTGCAAGCACGGCAAGGACTGGGAGAAGCACAAGGACACGCGCTGCGACAAGGATAACGTCAACTACGAAAAGTGAGTCAGGGATGGGCTGGGAAAAGGGTCCTAGTGGGGATGGGGACACTCCACAAAGGGATGGGGACACTCCACAAATGTTCTTCCCCCTCTGTGAGGTGCAGCCGTGCCTGCCTGTGGTGGTTAGAACTCCAGACATGGGGACTGAGGGAAGTTCGGTGCTTTCCCGAAATAGATGAGGGTTTCATTTCCATAGTGAGGAGCGAGGCGCTGGATGTTCAGGGCTTTCCTGTGCTGTATTAAAGTTCGAGTAATCCGGCAAGAGCGGCTCTTATCTGCGATCACCGTGGCCGCCTCTAATACGATTTCCCTTTTTCCTAACGCTGATGAATGATGCTTTTCTTTTTCCCCCTCCTACCCTCCCCTAACATAAATGTTTCTCTTGGAGATGAGCCCGAAACATCCCCCCTCACTGGCTCTGCCAAAAATCTCGCAAAACTGGTGGGTCCTTGGGCATCCCAGTGCAGGCAGCCCCAAACTCACCTGGATGCGATGGGGTGTTCCCCCACATCCCCCCTTCACTAACAGGGGTGGTGGCAGCAATGTACGATGGACCTTGGTGTAAAAACTGGGGGGACAAAGTCCTGTGAGTTTGGGGAGCTCTGTGGGGCTCTGTCCCGCCAGTGCTGGGACACTGGGGACAACTCGCAGCCACCCAGCCAGAGAGCAGATGGGGAGAAAACACATTGGGCATCATCTTCAAAGCGTCTTAGGAGGTGCTGGGAGGTAAAAGTGGAGCTGGGGTGCTGTGGGATTATCTGGGGCTTCAGGGCGGCTCGAGCACCGCGTGGCCCTGTCCGGCAACAGGACCCTGCCTGGCAGGATCAGCCTTTTTGGGGACAGGACATCGCGGGATGGTGCGAGATGCCGCGGGACGAGGGGTGTGCTGAGGGGTGGTGGGATGGGAAATCTCCCTCCCACCCGGCTCAGGTAATCCCCTAATGCTGTTTGCAAGTACGGGGAGATTTACACCTCGCCTAGGATGGCTTTAGGAAGCAGATAGACTGGGAACACGTGGCGCAGGGCAGCGTGCTCCTGCGTGACCCTGAACCTACACCGTCCTGCTTGTCCCCGTGGGACACCCGGGCAAAAAGCCATCGGCAAAGGGTGATTTATACCCTCCTGCCCAGGGAGAAGTTGTCTCCAAACCTG